TTCGTGTACCCACTTGGACTTCAACCGTCGCCAGACCACTGCGAAATCTGCGCGGATAAGCCAACTGCAACCAGCGTTTCAAACTCAGATCAACGTCATGGTCGGCAAGCGCAAGTGGCAGGAGGCGGATTGGGAGGTGGCGCTAGCTGCGCAGAGCTACGTGGCCGTGTTAGCCGCCCCAGAGGAGGAGCAGGTGGCGTCGAAGCGTAAGTCTAAGGACAAGAAGGGTCAAAGGAAACCCACGAGACGCTCAACCCGCGCTCGGAAGGCACCAACGGACGAAAAAGAGAAGAAAAACGAGGACAATGACGTGGTAATGGAGACAGCGGAGGACACGAAGCACGTAGACCAGTTCTGGCTCGCTCAGCTGCAGGACGACGTGACCGAGGACATGCTCACTCAGGAGGACGTGAGTGTCCACGTCACGTGGCTCAACCGCACAGCGGACAGACGCTACGAGGTCGCGTACGACGAGCAGGTGGACGTTGGCAGCATCTTGTGCCACGTCTATCTGCGTGATCTGAGCACCACGGCGTTGGAGCTCACCCCCAAGTCGCTGGCAAGAGTGCAACGTTGTCTGACGCGTACTAAGGCCAAACTGGCGGGTGAGGACGTACCGGAGGACGAGAACGAAGAAGAAGACAACGAACGTCCTCCTCCTTCTCTGCGTCGAGCTGGAGAGGACGACGTCAAGACGTCCACAGGACGAGGCAAAGGCAAGAGCCAGAAGCTCAGCAAACGAGAGATGGCGATGCACATCTCTCCGCTGCGAACGACAGTGGACGAGGCCAAGTACCAAGACCGAGAGCTGCTTGGCTCACAGCCCTTTGAGTCCTTCAATGGAGACGTCTTTTCGGCCAATCGTGAGGTCGTACGCGCTGTGCTGACCAAGAACATCAAGCTGCTCCAGAAACTCACGACCGACACCGACGTGCACGCAGAGCTCAGCACGTTCGACGCTCCGCGCAGCACCGACGTCAGTCGTACTGCACTCCACTATGCTATCGACAACGACGACCTAGCAGCAGCCTCTCTATTACGTCAAACGGACGAGAAGGTGGACAAGGAGAAGCTTGCAGCTGCTCCAGAAGTGGCTCTGCCTTCACACTCGACTGGGCAGCACACAAGTCGCTTCAGTGACTACCATCGACGTGCTATCAACGCCAGTCGAGGAGGGAAGGAAGGCAACAACGCGCTGCTTGAAGACAGCTACGCTCCTCGTGCTGCGAACTTGGCATTGGACTATCTATGGCGTAGTCCGAACGCTAGCGTCGAGATGCTTACGCTGCTGTACCCGACTGGGGAGTGGACGAATGGCTACGTCGTGGGGAACAATGTGTGTCACTTGGCACGCTGTGGCAACTATCGACTTGTACGTAAAGTTGTGGAGACTCTGGAGAAGAATGGAGGCTGGGGATTCAATGAGCTGCACCATAAAGTGCTCGCTGATGGCTTGACGGATGGAAATGTGCCATTGTTGCCTCCGTTTCGAGCTGTTTCGGCTATTAAACAAGCGCATCAGACGCGACTGCGACCGTTGCATCTTGCTGCTATTAACCCGAACACCAAGTATCTCGAGGAGCTCTGGGCTGTTGCAGGTGACGAGTTCAGTGCGATTAAAGACGACCAAGGGTACGAACCCATCCACTACGCGGCAGGATGCGAATCTCCTGAGCCAATGAAGTTTCTTATGGACAAACGCTGCGGCTTGTTCGGACGTACGAAGACGCGTTTAACGCCTTTGATGTGTGCTCTGGAAGCAGGACGCGAGGAGACGGCACTCGCGTTACTCAAGTTCGCTGCCACGCCCGGAGAGAGCGGCGAAGGCGGCCGAGAAGTCGCTGACAAACTTGTTCGTGAGAAAGGACCAGGAGGCAAGCAGGCAATCCACTTTGCAGCACGACACGGGTGTGCCAAGGTGTTGGAATACCTTCTAACCGAGTGTGGAGGTGCTGCAGAGGTGAATGCTGTAAGTGGAGGATCGAATAAGTCCACGCCGTTAACATTTGCGGCGCAGAATGGTCATTTGGAGTCTGTACGCGTCTTGTTGTCCAACGGAGCGCGTGTGGATCTGGGAGATAAACTCAAGAAGACGCCGTTGATACTAGCGGTGAAAAATGGCCACACACAGGTGGCTGCTGCGCTCATCAATGGAGGCGCCAACGTCAATGCTTATGATACCTCAGAGAACAGTGTGGCTCACTATGCTGCGAGCTACGGGTGGCCTTCGTGTCTTCAGCTGTTGTGTGATGTCGAGTGCTGAATTGTGGGATCCGAATGCGTGGGGCTTTGTGCCGCTTGCCTGTGCACTACTTAAACAGCATCGCGCTTGTGCTGAGCTCATTCTGGGTCCAGTAAGCGTCGAGGCGGAAGAAAAGGTAACCAGATTTTCAGAGACGGTCAAGGCATAAGAAAAAGGAGCCGGGGAAGTTCAATATTTGCACAAGCGAGGACGAGATAGAGAATAGAGTGGAAAAGGAGAGGCAGATGTGAAAAAAGGAGAATTCGGAGAGGAGAACCACGATGCGAAGCCAAGCGAAGGAAAGAGGAGGAGAGCCCCTAGAAAAGGGATGTGAATGAGAGGTATGTACA